ATACAGCAGTAGGCCACAACATCAGAACTGGGATCCTCATGAAGAACCACTGTTTGAGTGAGCTAATTCATAGCAGCAGCCCTGAGTTTGATGACCTCACACAGCTCCACCAGATCTGGTTGTGTGCCATTAAAGATGCTGCCATACCTCTGTTTCCAGATAAACCATAACACAGCCGCAGGAATAGTTTTCCAGCTGAACCTTTTCTGTTTTTTCAATGATAACAAAAACCATCTATATACCAAGCTTTTGTTTTTTAAACCCTCTTTTGGATTTTGTTAAACCTCTGGATGGTCTGCTCTGCTTCTCTTCTCATTGTTTTAAATTACAGTTAAAAGGACATCCTCAGCAGTTGTTAATTAATTAGACTTTTTTGACAATCTAGTAATGTGAACCATAGTTTTCTGACTTTGGTTGTGAGGCTTTTGTGTGGTTTTTTTATGAACTAATTTGATCTTTATGATTGGTCAAAAGTAGTAGTAGGAAGTGGGATTACTCCTGCTTCCTCCTCAAAGACAATGCTCTAACTGGATTTCTCCCCCCAAACTCAACATCCTCAAAAAATGTTGCAATTCCCGTCTCAAATATTGACCTATTTGTGGGATCATAAAACTTGTAACCCCGTGATCGTTCGGCATAGCCAATAAAGTAGCTGCTAATGGTTTTAGAGTCCAATTTTCGTTCATGAGGTTTATAAGGCCTCGCCTCAGCAACATTAATACCAAGCCTTTGGGTAGTGATATTAACTGTGAGTGGTATTCTTGTTGTAATGATCAAACATTGACAATAAGTTATGTCAAATAACAAATCTATCTTTTGATGGATTTATTATTCACATTAGGTTTTCTTGACAATTGGCACATGTTTATCACCACAAAATGTGTGTGTAATTCTGCCAAGTCTTAATCATGTCTTTGGACCGATAAATACCCGCATGAGATACACAGACATGAATTTCAAAACATTCCATATAAAACAATCTAGACAAGAGAGATCACTTTTGTGACATCTTGTTTGAATTGACTTATATTTAGAACATTTGAAAATTAAATTTCCGTAGACGTTGTATGAATTTACATTAAATTTAAAGATTTCTAAATTTGTTACCTCGTATATGTTATATAATCTGAATCCATCCCAATTATATACATATATATATAAATACATGATGTTCACCATTTGAAAAAAGAACCGCCCATCCGAATTATGTTCCATTTCCAGAAAACAAAACAGAATTTGCAGCAGAGGGAAAAACAGAAATACAAAAAAAAAACAGAATCTGATTCCAAGGAACTAAATAGGATGAATAAAAGCATATCTATTTTGATAATACACATGATATAACCGCTCTGATACCACTTGTAAACATAAATTTCAAAACATAAACCTTACACTTTGGATCATTTATCATGTGTATTATCAAGAAAACAAGACTAAAACGACATACCTGAATCCATCGATGAACGGTTAAACAGAAGCGTCTGATTGTCAATAAAACCTTTGATGTTGACTTTGTTAAAGCCTTCTAATCCTTTCCCTTTGGTGCCTTATGTTTCTCTTGAGAGGATTTAGAAAAACTAAACAGTATTCTTATTTTTCACCTTAGGAAGGAATAGGGACCATAACCTTTTAAATGTTGTAATTGGTTTTCATAACTGAAAGGTAATGAAAACCAATAAATTAACCATTATTGATTTTAAAACTGAAAGGTAATGAAAACCAACTTTAACCAATATGTTTTAATTTCTATTTCTGCCCCTCATAGAAATAGAAATTATACAACTAGTATCTACACATTAGGTCCATAACACATATACCCTTAAGCCTATTAACTAAATTGAATCACTTAAATTGTAGGCTTTTTATAAATGATAACACCACATTTAATTATGTGGTCCCATTGAGACATTATCTAACATGGGTAGCTGCTGTTGTTTGTTGATCTGTACATCGGAATGATCTTGGGCAGTAGGAGGAGGTGTTAAGGAGTGATGTTGGCAGGATTTGTGTTTGAATCTTTATGCTCTGTTTTGTGTTTCTTCTTTGGTTTGGTCTCTCACCAATCCTTTGGCGAGAGCTAGCAATTGTTTGGGTATTGCTTTTGGGGTGTCTCTTCATCCTGCTTTATTGATGTAATCCATATTGTTTGTATGTTTTGTTGTCATCAATAAAGTTGTTCTTTTTACTGATAAAAAAAAAATGACGGCTAAGTCATTTCCAAGGAAATATACCCTAGGAATAACATTCTAATGATGGTTACTATAAAAGGAAATATGAAAGAAAAAAGTACAAATAATCTCCACGACGTAAACATAATTCATTATCCATATTCCTATAAGAAAGATCATGGTTCACTAACTTCACCATCCATGCCCTTTTTGACCAAACACTCTCGGTCGGGCAGCTCTCATCTGTCGTGTTTGTTTGGAGGCTAACTCTTGGTCATCTTGCTCTCGACATTGGGAGGAAATTTTTCTTCAAACACTTTTCAATTTTGTAACACAAAAATAATCCTTGGGGTCGACATGAAATTTAAAGTGTGAAGCCCAAGAAATATTTATATCAAAACCCGAATGTCACTATAACAATAATACCATCAATGTAAAATAACATAATAAATAAATAAAAAACATTCCCAACAATTCTAACAATGAACAAACTCTAATCATTACACTACCAGCTCGAAACATCAACAGGCAAGTTGAAGTTTCACAGACCAAACAACAGCATTTAGGACAGTGGAAGATAAATATATAATGAAATACCAATGATGGAAAGCAATAAAATTTCAAAGAATTCAAAAACATCAAACAGAGATGTAGAAAACAATTCACACATCAAAATCAACCTGAAATTACTTTAGCATCCAGTGTAAAATCCATGATGTACAACATGATCATTGAGAAAATTAGTACAGATTTATTTTGATTTTATTTTTACTCTTCACCCTTTATCCTGTGGACATCGATGAATTCATGTGTTTAAAACCCTTTGGCAAAGGGTTTATAGTTTTTGAAATCAATTATATACTCCAGAAGGAACGTAAACCATTGTGTTCACTATCTTGCTCTCCTTTCCCCTCATATACAACTGAGTAAAAAAGGAAAAACAATCATAGAATGCATGATAGTGAAGATCAAAGTTCAACCAGTTAAACTGCAAACAACATGAAGTTCACAAAGCATCTTTTTGGTTCAAAAAGTTTTACCACAACTATTTATTGGACAAAAAAGATAAGATACCCGTCCAAGAACTACTTATTGGATAATAAAAGATAAAATACCAATGCAGCTTATTGCAATGCTGCAGGAATTAAGATCCTGTTGCAGGTTTTGACTCAAGTCTGTTGCCCAATCTTTCTTCCTTCAGCTTATTAGCGAGTATTTTCTCAAGTTTTGTAAGCCTAGCTTCAAGTTCCTGTCCCGGTATTTCAAATATAATCCTAGTGTTTGCTGTTCTACTCACATTTGCACCTACCACAATTGTCTCTGATTGTTCCACCACTAGTTTTGTAAAACCCAAGTTATGTATAGAATTATTTTTTTTTGGATAGATTAGTAATTAAACTAATTGTATGAGTCATTTAGTAATATCAAAGAATTAGTTATATGGGTAATTTTATAATTTTGGAAAAACTAGGTTATTAAGCCAACATCTTGGCTTTAGGTCTTGGGCAAACAAATGCCTCGTGAATCATCGCAGAGGGTTTTGAAGGCTGCCGCAGGGTTTGAAAAAGAAATAAATAAAATTAAAAAAAAAGAGAAGAGGGAACATTCATAGAGTAGTGATCTATTCATCTCTTAGAGGTAAGATTTATTTTATTGTATCGCTATCTATGAATTTAGTTTCAATATATCAATAGATGATTTGAATGGGCATATATGATTAAATAAATATATTGATGTAGTGT